ACAGATTTATAATTTTCTCTATGCACCTGTTCATTGTTGCTACATAGACACAAAAAGGGATTGGACAACAATTGTCAGAAAAAGAGTAAAGATTCCATAAAAGTGCTGATACCCAGGACAAAGCAGGTTGTTATTACTAAGGAGAATCTAAAGATAGATACAATTTTAAATAGCAGCAGGGAAAGCAAACAAACGTACTACAAATTAGGTTAAAAGGAAAGGAGAAAAAGAATTTAAACCCTCAAAAAGTTAAGAAGAAAGAGGGAGAGAAAGAGGGAAGGAGGAGAGGGAGGGAGAGAGATAGAGAAAAAGAGAGAGGAGAGGGAGAGGGAGAGAGACTCTATTAGAATGAAACCAGAGTTTTAGCAATCATGCGGGGTGGGGAGGGAGAGAGAAATGAGCACAAAACGTAAAACTGTTCCTAATTTTCTAGAGCATCTGGCTTCTATTATATCTTGGCAGGGCACAAGCCTGAAAACAGATACAAGGAAAAGACAAATCTCCAGCATGTTAACCATGTTTCTAATCTTAAATTAGACCAAATAAAACCAAATACCTAGTTGATAGTCTAACTGGAGGGGCTGTCAGGTTAGTACAGGTTAGCTGTTAGTACAGGTTAGCTGTTGGTACAAGATACATACAAGTCACTCTAGCAGGAAGGTTCACAGGGGTGTGGTTAAAAATAAGAAAAACTTTTGACTAATAAACATGCATTGTTTTCATTAGCTGTTGTGGGTGCCACCTTGACATTTCTCAGCATCACTTGTGGACACCTCTGGACACCAGATTTAGTATTGGGAAATTGTTCTTAATGAAGAAATGGAAGTAAAAGCTGAGAGATCCCCGAGGAACCATTGCCACTCAGAGCAGACAATGCTGGTTAGTGAATACTTTGGAACCAGCCAAGACCTTGTTCTTAAGAAGAACCCTCCTACTTCAGGTTATTCCCCAATTCCAGATTTGATAAAAACTTTATTTTTTTCATCTTGTATTGGAAACTAGCGAACGAAACTGGCATTAGAGCAAAACTGCTCTGTCTTTGCTTTTTACTCTTCAACCCATGGTCAAGTAAATCTTTTACTTTGGAATCATCTACAGTCCTGATGGGACATTTAAAATATAAAACAGTTACAGAAAGTCATTGATACTCCCAGATCTAATTAAATAGAAAGATGAAATGTCTTTCTTAGCAACATATAGTAGTTTTATTAAATCAAGTAATCCCACACTTGAGAAACAGTTTCTTTCATTGATGTTTTTACAATATGTACATTTAAGAAATCTTAAGTCACATTTTAAAAAAATTCAAAAACGACCACAATTTAAATGATAAAATTATGGACAACATTACTAATTGTGCAATACACAGAAATTTAAATACTGGGATTCCCTGTAATAGATCTGCAACCTTGTTCCCATAACATCTATGCAAGCAAGGTTGCAGCATACTTTCCTTTTTTTAACCTTACTCTCTGATTTAAGATATTGCTTGAGGCGTACTCATTTAAATCCATACAGAATATTTTCAACCGTTTTCTTAAAAAACAAACAAACAAACAAACAAAAAACAATTTCAGATGGCCAGAATGAATTTTAAAAGAAGGATCAAGTTAAGGGAAAGAGTAAAGAAAGACAAAATGCGTACACACCCATGTTGAGGAGGTCATACAATATTCTGCTAGAAATTCCAAGGGAAAAATTACGGTGGTAGATTATACTAACCAGACTGTGAAAAACAGTCTCAGAGGCATCAAGAAGTGGAGAGAGTGGCCAAGGGTAAAAGGCAGTAACCAAAGCAGTCAGACACACACAAGTTAGGTGTGCAGCGTGGCTGCTCTTTATAACTGAAAGGCAGGATGGCTGATGTTCACATTCTTAAGAGTGCATCGGCAGGAGATTGTTCAGCACCTATGGATGGACGTGACCTGACAAATGCGCGAACGACAAAAGCGCGCCGACAAAACTGCGGTGCTAAAACCGCGATGTCAAAAGCGCGCCGACAACAGCGCGCTGACAACAGCGCGCCGACAGAAGCGCAATTTAAGTTAAGGTAAGGTTTAGGATTAGGTTTAGGGTTAGGTTTAGGGTTAGGTTTAGGGTTAGGTTACAGTGCGCTTCTGTTGGCGCGCTGTTGTCGGCGCGCTTCAGCGCTCATTCGTCGGCGCGGTTTTGTCGGCGCGGTTTTGTCGGCGCAGTTTTAGCGCCACAGTTTAGTCAGGCGCGCTTTTGTCATTCGCGCATTTGTGGTGGAACCATGGATGGATTCACGCCATCTCCTTCTGTACCACAGCAACGATGAGTCAGTACTTAACAATTAACGCAGTAAGAGTAGTTTCGGTATTGCCAGTACAATGCCATACCAGCATGAGGTACCACAAGTGAACAAGAAAATGGAGCCACCTGTTCCAAAAGTACAGCACGGGGCTGGAAATAACTGTGGGGAAGAGATGGAAGATTTGCACTCTGGACAGATAAGACTAGAAACTTCTTGATCCCAGCATTAAGCGGGACTGAAAAAGGCCTGCTAAGGAGAGCATCATGAAGGCACAAGTGCAGTACTGGGTGGGCCCAGGGCTCCAAGTCATGGAAGACCACCTACGAGAGAGTCCATATGGAAAGTGGATCAGGACTTTGGGTTACGTCGCAGGAGCTCCAGGGCGTCTGTTTTTGGATCTCGTTTTTACTGTGCTCTTGGCCAAGGGGCAAATTAATTGGTCCTCCAAAGCTGCATTTGCCCCTCTGTGTGACAAGGGAAGGGCTTGTACATTTAATCAATCTCAAGCCTAACAGCAGTTTGGGAATTGCAAGTTTGAATGAGGAAGTTGCGCAAGCGAACATGATTAACTTCCGTCTCAGCAAATCTTGCTCCAAAAATTAAAGACTTTTAACTGCTTTCCAAGGCAGATGAAGATGTCAAAAGATCTGATCACAAGCCTCCCACTTCAATATAGCTTGGCTCTCTGCTCGAGAGCTTCTAGGCTAAGGGATATGTATTTGCCATCATGAGTACAATGGGCAATTTGCAAATTGACCAAGGCTAAAGTTAATGGGATCAGAGGGTTTTCTGGAGGGGAAAGAGAACAATGTGCTACAAGAATGGGAAGGAGAAAGAAGAAGAAAAAGGGTGGGCTTAGTTTCCCATGAAGGCTGGGAAGAGGAGATATAAACACTTTTCACCCTCTGTTTGGTTATATCAATCCCTACTGGAGTTCCACAGCAGAAATAAAGCTAGAAATCAGTGTAATGCCACTAGCGAATGAGACTATTCTTGAAATTCTAAAATTTGGCATTCTCATGAAGCCAAATTCCCAAGATAAAATTCAGAGATTGTCATCCAAGGAAAAATCAATGATTGCTGCCTAAACGAGAGACGTATCTGCGCATTCAAAGGGAAACTTAAAACTTGCCATCATTTCTACAGTGCCTTGGGATAACACACCAAGTCAACAGCTTTACAATAGTAATGGGGGGGGGGGAGAGGAGAGGGTTTGGCTAAGAGAGAAGAAGACATGTGCAGACACAGTTGTCCTTGCAAATCACATGTACCAGCCATGGCAGCTCTCTCATTTCACCTGCCACACCTTAGCATCTTCAAATCATCATGTCCAGCGGAAGGCTGGTGTAGGCTCATCATCAGTAAGATGAAGCAGTGATGATGGGCTAGAGAGGGAAGCGCAGAGAGAAATACAGAAGGACCCTTTTTCCAACCATTAAGAATGTACATATGTTTTATACATACATTCACATTTATAGTAATATAAATATTTTTTAAAAAAAACAAACAAACACCAGCAGATGAGCAGGTCA